AATTATACAAAGTATGTTCTAGAACCACAATGGAATTAAGTTAGAAATCATTAAAAGATGTTTGGGAAACTCACAAATATGTGGATATTAAACAACACACTCCCAAGTAACCAGTGGGTCAAAAAGAAAATCAAAAGAGAAATCAGAAAACACCCTATGACAAATGAAAATAAAGATACAACATACCAAAACTTACAGGATGCAGCTCAGAGGGAAAGTCACAGCTACAAACACTACATTGAAAAAGGAAGAGGCTGGGCAGGGTGACTTACACCTGTAATTTCAGCATTTTGGGAGGCCAAGGCAAGAGGATTGCTTGAGACTAGCCTAGGCAACATAGTGAGACCTTGTCTCTACAAAAATAAAAATAATTAGCCAGGTGTGGTAGCACACACCTGTAGTCCCAGTTATTCGAGAGGTTGAAGTAGGAGGATTGCTTGAGCCCAGAAGGTCAAGGCTGCAGTGAGCTGTGATTGTGCCATTGAACTCCAGCATAGGTGACAGAGTGAGATCCCGACTCAAAAAAAAAAAGGAAGAAGGAAGTAGCCTAATCTTCCACCTAAAGAAACATAAAAAGAAGAGCAAGCTAAACTTAAAGAAAATAATGGAAGGAAATAATGCAAATTGAACTGGATAACTGAAAGCAAGGACTCAAAGAGTTAGTCTTTTTTTTTTTTTTTAATTGGAGTCTCACTCTGTCGCCCAGGCTGGAGGGCAGGGGCACACTCACGGCCACCCCAGTGTCAACCTGCTGGGCTCCAGCAATCCTTTTGCCTCAGCCTTCCAAGTAGCCGGAACTACAGGTGTGAGCTACCATGCCCGACTAATTTTTTATTTATTGTAGAGACGAGGTCTTGCCAAGTTACCTGGGCTGGTCTCGAACCCATGGGCTCAGGCAATCCACTCGCCTCCGCCTCCCTAAGTGCTGTGATTACGGGCTAAGCCACCAAGTCCGGCCTCAAAGAGCTATTCTAAACCCAAGTTCATAGCAACAATATTCAAAATAGTCAAAAGTTGGAAGCAATCCAGTTGTCCATTGATGGATGAAAGGATAAACAAAATGTGGTCTATTATTGAACCTTAGAAAAAAACAAAACTCTGACACATGCTACAACATGGATGGACTTTGAGGACATGACGCTAAGTGAACTGAGTCAGTTGCAAAAGAATACATACTGTATGATTCCACTACACGAAGTGCTTAGGATAGTCAAATTTATAGAGACAAAAAGTAGAATGCTGGTTGCCGGGGGGGTGGGGGAGAGGGAGAAGAAGAACGGGAATTATTGTTTAATGAGTACAGAATTTCAGTTTTGCAAGGTAAAAAGAATTTGGTGAATGGATGGTAGTGATGGTCACACAACAATGCAAATGTATCTAATGCCATTGAGCTTTACATTTAGAAATGGTTAAGATGGTAAGCTTCGTTATGTGTACTTTTCCACAATTTAAAAATAAAGATGAGAGTAGAAAGTAATGAAATAGAAAATAGAAAAACAATAGAGAAGTTGGTTCTTTGAAAAGTTCAACAAAATTGACAAAACTTTAGCTACATTGACCAAGAAAAGAGAGAGAAGATTCAAGAATCAATCGGAAATGAAAGAAGGAACATTATTACCAACTCTACAGAAACAGAAAGGATTATAAGAGAATATTATGGATAACTATTTGCCAAAACATTAGGCAAATTAGATGAAATGGACAAATTCCTAGAAATATACAAATTAGATGAAATGGACAAATTCCTAGAAATACACAAACTACAGTGACTCATACAAGGAACAGAAAATAAAAATAGACCTATAACAAGAGATTGAAGTAGTAATAAAAAATATATAGTCAAAAAGAAAAACCCAGGTTTAGATGGCATCACAGGTGAATTCTATCAAACATCTTAAGAAGAATTTATACTAATTCTTCACAGACTCTTTCAAAAACAGAACAGGATGGAACACTTCCCAAATCATGGGAATCTATACATGCTACAATACAAATTAACCTTGAAACCATCATACTAAGTGAAAGAAGCCAGTCATAAAGGACATATATTGTATGATTCCATTTATATGAAATGTGTGGAATGGGCAAGAGACAGACAGAGAGTAGGTAAGTGGGCATTGGTTGCCAGGAGGTGATATACAGAGCACAATGTTCCTTTTTGAGGTGATGAAAATGTTCTCTGACTGTGGTAACAGTTGTACAATTCTGTGCCTATACTAAAAATCATTGAACTATATATTTTACATGAGTGAATTTTATAAGTGAATTATATCTCATTAAAACTATTCCCAAGAAAAAACATTCTACCTTTAAATATGATATACACTAAGCTCTTACATAATATTTCACTTGTAATACAGGAAGCTTCCATAGTTGATAAAAGCCTTGTCAACCTGTTCCTTCCTTCAGGAAGACTTGTAATGAGCACTGCTGTGTGAGGTACCTTGAACTGGCATGGGCCAGACAGCAAGGGGTACAGAGATAAATTTAGCCCAGCACCTGCCCCTGGAGCTTGTGGTCAGGTGAAGAGTGGACATCCAAGTAAATTCCAGTCAGCCAAAACACCTAGTACCTTGCCAGGGAGGTACCTTCTTCATAATGATGCAAAGGAGGAAAAAAAACAATGCTAGATAACATTTATTAAGCGCTTCCTGTGTGCCAGGCAGTGCTAAGCACGTTCCATGTATCAGTCACTGCATCCTCACAACACCCTGTGGGTTAGCGCTCTCATTACCCTCATGACACAAGAGGAAATGGAGGCTGCAAGCCTCTGTCCTCCCACCACTCATGAGGGAAGCAGGGAGACCCTTGGGCCTTCAGGAGTCACAAAGAGACACAGGTTTGGGATGGGGCTGGGAGAAGGGAGCTCAACCAGCTCAAGTGAGAAACTGAGGTTCCACAGACCACAAGGTCTCAGCTTGCAGTGGCAAGGAAGCTCAAGGAGACAAAGTGCACTGAGGTCAAAGATCAGAGTCCTCGCACACATACTGGCCTCTCTCCAGTACCACACTCCTCCTAAGACTGAGACTCTGTTTCTTCAACTGTAAAATGGGGCCATAGAGTTAAGAGCTCTGGTCGAATCTGAAGAGATGACAGTGGGTGCATGGTGCGCACATGTACACACACACACACACACACACACACACACACACACACACACACACACACAGTTTCATCATTCCCAGCATCTGGCTCACCATCCATTGCCTTTGGATAAGGGTCACCTGTGGGAGACCCTGCCACTCTTCTCCCAAGCCCTCCTTCTCCTGGAAGCTTTCCCAGGCTGCCAGCCCAGAGCAAGTGCACCTCCTCGATACCCCTAGAGTTTCTGCTGATATCTGAGTGTCTCCTGCCTGCCTGGGTTAAAATGCCAGCTCCTCCACCGACCAGCTCAGTGATCCTGTATAAGCTCCTTCTTCACTGGAAGTAACTATTTCACCACTAAAACAAGGCCAATGGGAGTACGTAGCAGAAAGGGTGATTTCAGCAATGAAATGCTGCCTGGAGTGCACTTAGCCCAGTGCCTGTCTCCTTCTTCATGGTGATCGGTCTTGCTCTGCCCACTTCACAGGGGATGAGGGAGGGTTACTGCAGATGGCAGTGTGGACACCAGTTGAGAGCCCCTGTGCTGGGGCTCAGCTGGGTAGCGCACACAAGGCTGTGGACTGGGTGGGCCACGCCCATGACCTTGAGGACCAACCAGATCCACAGCTGCCTGTTTGCTGCTCTTTCTACCCAGAGAAGTCCGGGGGAGGGGTCACCTCTGCTGGGATCTGCTCGTGCCAAGGATCTCTTGCTTACTGTACATTCTGAGGGGTAGACGGGACCCACCGGGGGTATGGGGTCTGGAGGAAAGCCACCAGTGAGTCAGCTCCTATTACCTGGGGTCTGGGGTGGGGGAGACGCATGAACCGCCTTACTAAAACCATCTTACTAAAACGCAGCTCTGGGGTGGGCCGAAGATTCTGCATTTCTAGCAAGTTCCCCAGAGGCCCTGGGCAGCTGTGCCTGGGCCACACTATCCGCGGCAAAGACCTGAAACACAGCACATCCACTTCTGAGAAGAGTCTGGGTGTGCAGTGAGTGACAAGCACAACTAGGGCTCCCACTGGTCCTGCAAGGACCCAGCCCCACCCAGCCATGCCTCGGCTTCCACCATCTGGAGGGTCATGCTACATGGGTTTCCAGGATTCCATTTCCATGACATACATAAAATAAAAGCAGTGCCACATTATAAAAAAGTTGGATACAGGAAAATAGGAGAAAACCACTGATCATCTCATACTGTATGTAAATCGACTGCTAACCTCTCTCCACAGGATCCCAAAGCCATGACTATCAGTGAGTCATTCATGAGTGGGACACCCCCTCAGCCCCACCCTGTCACACTGAAGCATTAGGTTAGACATGGGGGCTGCTCCAGACAACCCCCATCTCCTGGCCCCCTTCCCACCCCAAGACAGAGATGCCCAGCCCTGTGGTGCCTGAGGCCTTCACTCAGACCTATCCAGGGTGAGCAGGGCCCCTCCCCACCTCCCTCTCAGGCAGTAGGCTGAGGACGCAGAGGTGGGTCCGGAGGAGGGGGTGCACATCTGGATTCCTGGCCCAGAGCCTGCATTCCTTCCCTGTGAGTGTGAGGAGATGGGGCCTCCAAAGAGCTGAGGGGGCTGCCCCCTTGTCATGGGCCCCACCCTGCAAAAAGACCGGTGGGGACTTGGAGGCCCAGGACTTCACTTTGGGGCCAAATCTGGGTCTGAAAATCCTTTATCCATATTGCTGACCAGCCAGCATGGGCCTACGCTGGGCCTCTGTCCTGTCCACACCGGCCAGCCTTGCTTCAGAAATCCCAGAGGGGACAGAAAGGCGGAGACCAGAGGGCCATGGGCCACCCACGGGTGGAAGGGGCCCTGGGTAGGTCTCTGCGCCTGACTTAACCCCAGGTGCTGGTCCAAAGGTCAGCAAGGGGACCCAAGAACTCCTCCTGGGCCAGGTGGCCTTACCTGGGGGCAGTCCTTGATGTAGTGTCCTTTGTTGAAGCAAAGGTGGCACAGGTAGTTGGGCGGGGGTCGCTTGCTGGGCTTGCGGGCCTCGGAGGTGAGGGTCAGGTCCGAGAAGTGCTCTGTGAGAGAGCTGAGGCCGTCGGCAATGTTGTTGAGGGAGCCGTAGGGCGAGGCGCTCTTATACACACTGCTGCTCAGCGCCTGGGGAGACAGAGGCACACATGCTACAACCCACAGAGGCACACACACTGCAGCTGCAGCCTTGGGGGGATTTCCGTACACCCCCCTACATTAATTCGCACTGAGCCTTCAGCTGTCCAAGGGCTCTGGCCTCTGGGAGTCCAAGTTCAAATCCTAACTCTAGTTGTGTGTCCATGGACAAGCCAGTTAATCACTCTGGGTCTTAGTGGCCCTGTCTGTAAAATGGGAATAATGATAATACTTTCTAGGGTTTCTATCAGGCTAAAATGAGGCCACTCATTTGTAAAGTCTGACATGTAGGTAGGAATCACTCAGCAAATGGTGATGATAACGGCTATTATTATTTCTTCTTCTTCTTCTTTTGAGTTGGAGTCTCACTCTGTCATCCAGGTTGAAATGCAGTGGCGCACTCACGGCCACCCCAGCGTCAACCTGCTGGGCTCCAGCGATCCTTCAGCCTCAGCCTTCCAAGTAGCCAGAACAACAGGTGTGCACTACCACACCTGGCTAATTTTTGATTCATTGTAGAGACAAGGTCTCGTCAAATTGCCCGGGCTGGTCTCAAACCCGTGGGCTCAGATAATCCACTCGCTTCAACCTCCCAAAGTGCTGGGATTACAGACTGAGCCCGGCCTATCATTTTTTCTTAACACATTGCCACGAGGTAAGAAGGTACAGCAGAAATACCTGTCAGATTTGGGGCTCTGCCACTAACTGGTGGGATGACTTTAGGAAAGTCACCACAGACTCAGTTTCCCAATCTTTTAAGAAAGAGGAACATCAGCTGGCAGCACTGCTTCCACTTTATACAGGAGAAGGCTGAAGTCCAGCCCTCTACCTGTCTCCTGCAGCACGAGGCCTGCGTGTCCTGAGAGCCCTCAGCCTGGCCCAAGCCACCTTTCTAGAAGCCCAAGGATGGAGGTGGCCCACCTTTCCCTTCTCCAGATGATAGGAACCAGACATCTCGCTCAGCTTCAAAGCAGACGTGGCCCAGGCCCCTCCTGGTGTACACAGCCTCTATTTATAGGCGTCACAGGCTCCAGGCGGCCTGGCGCACTGGAATTTAGCAGAGATGGGGCCTGTGGTGAGTCTGGTAAGGAATGGCTCAGGTCCCCCTTTCCTGGAGCAAGGCCAAGGCTGGAAAAGACAGCTTCCCCAGGCGGGTCAAACCTAGGCATGGGGCTTGGACATGCCCTGGGCTCTGTTCAGGTGCCCAAGAACTGCAGGAGTAAGTTGTGGACCTTGGGGGCCTGGGGTCTGACCGGGAGACTCAGGAGTCCACAGGCTGATGGGGAAGCAGGATTCCTGATATAAGGGCCTCAGGTGCCTTTCAAAAGATGGAGCAGACAAGGGCCCGGTGTGGAAACAGTCTTTCTGAATGAAGGAAGGGAAAGGAAGCAAGTTGAGAGTTGACCCCAGGGTATACCATCCCCTCCCCGCAGCCAGGACAGATCCCACCCCTCACAGGTGTATACCCTGACCTTACTGTTTCTGTCTTCAGGGGTCTGTCACTCCCCTCCTAGCAGACACAGCCTTCATCACCTGGGTACCACTACTGTTCTTGGTACCTCAGAACACCCTGCTGTTTGACCACAGCTCTTTCCCTCTCTGGGCCTCTGTTCCCTCTCATGTGCTTTTGGACCAGAGCCTAGGATGTGGTGGAAAAGACACAGACACCACATATGGGGTAGCCCAGATCCAGCACATAGTCGGCCTACTATGTCTGCTCCACCACTGCCTAGCCCTACCATGAAAGCCGGCACCAGCAGAAGATTCCACACCAACCTGCATTCAGTCTGAAGTGAACTCCAGCCCTTTGATAAGTCCAAGATGGAGTGGTCCACCCTGAGAGGCTCCCCCCCACCATCCCTGGAGGTATGTGAGCCAATGGAGGTCAATCTTACGGGGCATGGAGGAGGGTTCTGATGGAAATCAGATCAGAAGATAATAACAACCTACACCAAGCACTCACTGTGTCTCCAGCACTGGAAATTGTACACATATGAAGATAGCTGATTCTCACCACAATCCTATGAGTCACTGTCCCCATTTTACAGATTAAATGAGTGTGTCCGAACTTGGATTGAATGACCTAGGAATCTTGTTACAAATACTGTTTTCTGGGCTCCACCTCCGACCTCCCAGAGCAGCCACTGGGACCCAGGGTCCAAAATCTGCCCCTTTTTGTGTGTGGGGGGGGATGGTAAAATATACACAAGAAAAGTTACCATTTTAATGATTTTTAAGTGTACAGTTCAGTGGCATCCAGTGCATTCACACTGTTGTGCAACCACCACCACCATCCACCGCCAGAGCTTTTCATCTTCCCAAACTGAAACTGTCCCCAGGAAACAACTCCCCCACCCTCCCTGCCCCAGTCTGATCTGTCTTTTTCAAGATCCCTCCGATACAAGCAGCCCAGCCCCATCCAGCCTTGGAGCATCCTGACTTTTCAACCAATGAGACCTCTCCTTATCTTGACTTTCCAACACCAGGAAGGAGACCCTCCCCTTCCCACCCAAATCCGTACCAACCTCTCAGAGAAAAGTTCATCCAAACGAGAAACTTGAAGCCCTAAACAGTGTGACTCACCCTCATGGCTGGGAAATGCAATTTCACAAATAACAACCCTCTTTTTCCCCCCTTTTTTTCCTTTCTTTTTTTCTTTTTTTTTTTTTCCTTCTGGATAAGATGTAAGCAAGTCCACAGGAATCAGGATTGTTTTGGCAGTAAATTGTCAAGAGGAAGGGGAAGTTTGGTGGGTGCCAGAAAGTACACTAATTACACCCTCAAAAACCTCTCCCCCGTCTTGTGGCCACGCTCCCCTGCCTACAGACGGCCCCGTGGACATCCCTGGGCAGCCAGAGGCCTCTGAGAAGGCTGCCCTTCCCCTGGCAGCTCAACATACCCGCTGCCTCTTAAGGGCCACAGCTTTGTCCCTGCCTCCTCCACCTCCAGTGTCCTCCAGCCTGTCTCAATTCAAAATCAGCACTATCTTAGAGTTGAGAGGGCAGCTGACCCAACCTCATGGCCACATTACCGATGAAGAAACTGAGGCCCAGAGAGGCACAGGGACACAAACAAGGGCACACAGCCAGGCCTCTGGGCCAGGAGTCCGGTTTGCTGGGCCGGTGTGAAGGGTGGGTGGGGCCGCCAACTGTTTCCTTTCCGAAGCCCCATTTGAGTTCGGGCCAGAGAGGTGAAAGGCGAGTTGGCCTCCCGGCTGTTTCCGCGGCCTGTGGAGACTGGATAGAGCAAAGGCCAGGACACACAGAGTTCTATCCCCTCCCGTGCAGGGCTGGGGCCTGTCCTCTGTATGCTGGAAAATGGAGCAGGGAAGGAGGGCAACCTTGACAGTCGCTGCCCAAGACACCCAGGTACTGAGAGACATAACCCTGCCCCCGAGCCTGACATGCACACAGTGCTCGGTCCACGCAGGTGCCATCTATTCCACATCCCCCGGTTTGTGGCTGGAGGGCAAAGCAGGCCCAGAAGTCTTCATCAACAGCCCTAACTCTGCTACCCCCACGGAGCACCTCTGCTTTTCTCTCTCTGGCTCTGCACTTGTTCCACCCCCGGAATGCCCTTCTCTGCTTCCATCCAAATGCGCCCAACCCAGATCGGGCTCTAACTCCAGCATTGTGGCTTTCAACCCACCCTTTCTCCTTAACTCAGGGCTCAGGCTCCAAGGAGTGTGAAAAGCACAGATTCAGGCACTCTAAGGCCCTGCTGGCCATAGAAGCCCTGGTCTCCTCCAGAGGCCTCCCTGACCCCTGGGTCTAGCCCAGTCCAACAATGCTATTGGCCGGGGGCAGAGACCCCCACATGACTCCACCAGCAGTTGCCTGGTAAAGCTCTGAAGTCGTTCTCCAATCTCTGCATGTGTGATGCCGCCTCATCTCTCCCACAAGGCAAGACATCCTTGAAGACAGAGGTTCTGCAACCTTCTGTCGTTCCAGAGCCCAGACTGTTTTGGCTGTTCCTTATGCCTGCCCTGGGTTCAGATGGTCACAGACAGGGAAGGGTTTCCTTTCTACAGATAAGGGAACAGCTGCCCTAGCACCTTAAAAGATTTCAGCTAGGGTCTCTGCGTCCCTGTGGACTGGGCAAGTGTGCACTCCCATCTAGATTAGGCTGCTCTGGGCACTGGTGGTGGGTAGAAGCCCCTGGCCACTTAGGCCCACACCCCCAGCCTTGGAGAAGAAGCTACCTCTCCTTCCTCCTTGGGTCAGTGACCCCAGCAGCTGGCAGGAAGCATGGGACCCTCAAACATCTGGGGGCCTGGGTATCAGACTTCTACCCATTGTTAGAACTTCTACAAGTTTCCAGCTTGGCTGCTGAGGGGCTAGTTAGATGGAAAGACATTACAGTTGATTCTGATCATGCTGTCTGTCACACACACGACTAGATCCTGTTCCTTTCTTAGTTCCCTTATACCTGGCAAGAACACTATTTACATGGCCATTATTGGCCCCATTCTATAGAGTTGGAAACTCAGGCTCAGAAAGGCCGAGGAATTTGCCCAAGGTAACCAGACTGTGTTGGCCTGTTACATTTCAGCCTCCACATGGCCGCCAAGGCTTGACTTCCCATATAGGAAGGGGAGCCAGAGGAAAATACCCAGTGTGCACCACTCTCCTTGGAACAGAGGCCTAAGCCCTTCAACCCTGGCAAGATGAGGGACCAGTTTCTCTGGGCTGCATGAGGGGTCTGGGCCCTAGGGAGGAGGTTCTGCCACAAAATATGGAGTGCAGAAGAGGAGGTTTCCAGGACTGACTCCAGCTCTCCCCAGAGCAAGCCTACCAAGCCGAGCTTCTCCCCCCAGGACAGTAAGTGGTCACAGTGGGAGAGGGGAAGCAAGTGTTTGGACAGGGAGGCAGGAGCTTCAGAGGGAGAAGACAGGGCCCAGAGACAAGACAGGAGGCAGAGACGGGGAGCAGCATCTGCCTGGAAGGACATGGCAGTGGGCAAAGCCACGGAGGCATGTTCAGCCATGGACA